ATCATGGGCGATGCCAGCCCGACCAATGCATCGCACCTGGCTTGGCTGGCCCGCGCCAGCAGTGTCATAGCGTGGTCGTCTGGACAATCGTTCTGCTGTTCGGCCATCTGGTCAATTTGCATATTGTGCTTTTATTATTATAGATGTTAGTGAGGATGTGGGGAAACCAACACGCTCATTACCAGTTCTGATTAATCTTGTGACACTGGTTTGTTTGACTTTATATCTCTCTCTTCCCTAACAACCTACTCTGTTTTAGGCATTTGAAAATAACCAAAAATGTTAAGAGAAAAAATTAGCCCGGTCAGAACGGGGGCAGAGAGTAGAAGTACATCCTCCTATAAGCAGCCTTGCAAGTAAGTACCATATCTACCAGCCCGTAAAGTTTTTACCAGCCCAGATCTTCCCTCAGAAGTTTCCCAGAGAGGAAGGTGGGTAACAACAATTTTATAAAGCTGTCGCAATAAAATTATTACAAATGTAAAAATTATATGCATCATACTAATATACTAAAATAGCACAGTATAAAATTGTTTGCCTCTGGTCTGTGCGTGAGGGGCCTGTGGGGGCTCCGAGTTACCTTGCAGCCATCCATGGACACTTCAGGCCTGAACTGACCCCCAGCTTCGAAGATCTGCCCGTTCCAGGCCCGGAAGCGAACTGCCCGCTTGGCTGGGGCCTGCCCGGGGCCCTCCTGCCACACGGTCATGTTCAGGCAGTGGATGGTGATATGCTGTGTCACCTCAGAGCTTAGCAGGTGCAGAAAATTCATCTGGACCCGGCTGACGGCAAACTCGACCTGTGGAGGAGACACAGCCGTGGGGCGGGGGCGGTCTGGCTGGGATGCCCACAGCTCTCAGAAGGTAAGCTCTCAGGGGTAAGCTTTCCTGGTAACATTTCCCAACCACGCTCCCAGACGTGTGCCCACGTAAGAGACAGGGAAATTGAGGTCTGTGTGAGCTGGTCCAGAGCCAGGGAGCAGCAAGGAAGGGAAAGAAAGAGCCAAAGCCAGAGTCAGAGCTGGGAAGGGCCCGATGCAATCTTACCCACTTCCCCTCTCCATGGTAGCGGACGGGGGTCTTTGGAGCTGAGCTGGGACCCAGAGGCCCAGAGAGGAAGAGGATCTTGCCCAAGATTGAGAGGCTCTCAGAGTAAAGAGGAAATGAGCAGCGCCCTTCCTACCCTACGTCTCCGTATCCCTGAGGGGTGGGATGGGGTAGAAACGCCAGACCTGACCACAGACAATAGGACAGGATTTACGGCCTCAGTGGTTCTAGTGTGAGTGCTGACAGCTGGGTCTGTGTGTCTGTGACGCGAGCACCTGGCGTAAGTTTTGACCCCACGCACTTCAAAGGCGCCGTCTCTGATCAGCACCCCACAGAGGTTCATTGTCCCCCATGGGGTAGAGAGTCAGAGGGGCAGTCCCGCTGCCAACCCAGGGGCCAACTCCGGCCTCACCCCTCTGCCACGTCAGTCAGAGGGGAAAGGGCCGGCTGGACCGTGAGCTCCGGCTGTGGGGCTAGTGGCGAGGCTGCTGTGTTTCGTGTTGAATCCCAGCACCTGGCACCTGGCAGGGACTCAACTGGTTGACCGGCTGGCTCCTGAAGACTCTCCAACTCTGGGTGCGGGAGTGGTCACACTGCCACTGCTCTCCTTGGCTTATTGTTGAGTTGCCCTGAGCCACCTAAAATTCTCAGCCCAGAGATGGGCACCTGGTAAGCGGGCAGCGAACATTCATTTAATATTTGCACGCACAGTCCTGGCGGCTGTCCCCGGGGAGCGGCACCCTGACTTGTTTTGTGCTGATGGCTCGTGGTTCTCCAGGCCAGGCCAGCTTGGCCAACGACGCTGCTTTAGGTATTAGGCAAAAAGTCCTACTTACAGAGAGAACCATTGGCATCAGACAAGTCCAAGGGGTTTTGGATTTAAAACAATTCATCCTCAACTTATAGGTGAAGAAACTGATGTTCAGAAATGGGAGATGACTTCCCCAAGGCCAGGCAGCCAGTCGGGGGCCGGGAGCAGACGGGTACCGGGCAGCCAGTCGGGGGCCGGGAGCAGACGGGTACCTTGGAGGCTGTGATGGGCTTGAGACACGTCTGTCCACCATGCGTGAAGTTGCAGGAGACTTCGATGGTGTCGGACGAGCAGCCAAGGTTCGGATCCACCCAGTAGGTGCCTGCAGGAAGCAATGGGGTGGTGGTGTATGTGTGTGGGAAGGAGCCCAGGGCTTGGTTCTGAGGTGGGCCCCCCCACCTTGTGACCCCTGAGCTCCACTTGGATATGAAGTCAGGGACGGGGGAGCAGAAAAGGGATTCGTGAGCCACAGATCTCTGAGCAGAGCCCCTGGAGGGGCACCCAGCTGAGCATGAGACCTGTGGCTGAGAAATGTCCACTTTCCCCCGGGGACACTAAGGTAGAGAGGCTGAGCCACTTCCCAAGAGATTTAGGGATGATGTAGTGGAATGGTTTCTCCATGGAGGCGAGTGATCCTCCTAGGTTGGCTGGGGGACCCCTAGAGGTCCCCCAAGTATTGAGAACTTGGAGCTGTGGAGGCTCAGACCTCGGGCTGAGCCAGGACCTCAAGGGGCTGATGGCTCTCCACCCCCTCTGCACCTGCCCTACCCCCTCTGCACCTGCCCCACCCCCTCTGCACTTCTTCCACCCCCTCTGCACCTACCCCCACCCCCTCTGCATCTGCCCCCACCCCTCTGCACCTGCCCCCACCCCTCTGCACCTGCCCCCACCCCTCTGCACCTGCCCTACCCCCTCTGCACCTGCCCCATCCCTTCTGCTGGCACCGGGTTCCCCCACTGAGCGTCTGAGGGAGCCACAGGTGTCACAGCGAAAGAGTGGGACACCCGGCCACTAGCCGCCTTCTCAGGCAGCCAATGGAAGGGTGCTCAGGGCGGGGCGGTGGCTGCCCAGCTCACAGGGCCTACATTCGAATCAGGTCTGCCTGCCTCCAAAGCCATGGTCCTTCCAGGGGCCACATTAGCTCACAGACAGAAGGGAATCGGATGAGGTGCAGAGCCCCCTCCCATCCCGGCCTGTCCCCGCCCTCGGGGCTTTTCCTGCCAAGGCTCTGGCCTCCCGCTGACATGACTGTCCCTGCTTGACATCTGTAGGCTCCGGAAGGATGGGACCCTCCTCGGGGTACCCACTCCACCCCCTTCTGAAGCACAAGGCCTGGCACCAGGGCTCAGCGACTGCTGGTTGAGTAAGTGACTGGCCCTGTGCCATCTCCCTGAGGACAGAAACTCGGCCCTGCTCCCCCTGGGTCCCTCTGCCCCGTCCCACCCCACCCCACCCCGGGCAGGAAGTGCCCTCCTCAGACCACAGGCCCCCGTACCATCTGCCATCTTCTGCTCGCAGTCCATGAGGTCCCGGCAGACCCGGGCGGGGTTCTCTTTGGTGCCCAGGGGCGTCTTAATGCTCTGGATGAGGTGGCTGAGGTAGTGTAAGGTTTTAAAGATCTCCCCTCCCTGGTCCAGCACCAGCCGGTCCGGATGGCTGGAAACCTGCTGTGAGGAGAGAGCCATCAGCCCCTTGAGTCCTGGCTCAGCCCGAGGTCAGAGCCTCCACAGCCCCAGGGGCATGGTTGGAGCAGGCGTTGGGTCTACTCTACTTAAAGAAATTGGGGTCCAGGGGTGGGCTGGGGGGGTAGGTGCTGCCATGGGAGCTTAGAGGCTCAAGAGGAGCAATGGTCAGGTGTCCATGAGCAAGGCAGCCAGGTGTGCAGAACGCTGGGGAATGGCCCCAAATCCTTCCAGAAGGGGTTGGTGGAGGTCTTTCCCCTGATCCTTGTACGCCCCATGGAAGGAAAATAATGGGCTCATCCATGCTGCCCTTTGCCCTGAATTGTGAGCCCCCAGAGAGTAGGACAAATGGAAATGCATGTAGGAGGTCTGAGTTGGCGGGCGTGGGGGTGAGTCCCCCATTGGGAAGGAGGCAAGGCAGCAGAGGGCACTCCTGACAGGGGTCTCACTAGAGGGCACCGAGCGCCTTCTCAGCCTGGAGTCCCAGAGTTGCGATGACCCCAGGCCGGGGGCTTAGCTGAGCCCTGTGGGATGGCCATGAGCTTCCTGCTCCGGGCAGACTGTGGCCTGAGCCGTGGGAAGCTGCTGTGGGCGCTGGGCCAGCAAGAACGCTGACACCCTGCGAGGGCTTGGGAGGAAAAAGGGCTCCGGGACTGGCTGTGTGACTGGCTGTGTCGCCAGCTACTCCCAGCCTCGGCCACGCCCTCCCCACCTGTGGTTGGGAGATGCCCGCCGGGGCTGTGAAGGGCTCGATGCAGGCCACGCGGGTGGGGCAAGGACCACACATTATTTCTGTTTTCCCCGGGAAAGGATCCCACGTGGCAGGGTCCTGCGGTACCTCTGCTCTCAGTGCTCCGTGAGTGTCCATCCACGTCTGGAAAGCTGCCCCAAGGTCATCTTGTTGCTGTGCAGGGAGAAGACGGGGTGTGCATCCTGGACCCCCAGGGTCTGAGCGCCCGCTCTCCACCCCACCCTCCCAGCAAGGTCCTGGCGAAGGCACAGGCCCTCCGTGGAACTCTGTCCTTCCTCCCCATGCAAACAGAGTCTGGCCCTTCCATGCCCTTCCCTGAGGCACTTTGATAGCTCATCGCCCTCAGGATTCAGTCCAAACTCCTCAGCATGATTACAAGACCCGGCCTGAGTGCTGTGGCCTCTGGCCCTCCTCTCTCCCACATCTATTCTGTGCACAACACACTACCATACTTCTAAGTCCTAAATGCCATGCTTTATCTAGCCACAGGACCTTTGCACATGCTGCTCCCATCCCTGGAATACTCTTCCTCCCTCCAGTGCTCCATCTGGCTCCCTCCTATTCCAGCGGTTCTCAGCCAGGGGCGATGATGCCCCTAGTGGACATTTGACAATACCTGGAGACAGTTTTGGCTGCCACAACTGGAGGGTGGAGGGTGTTACTGGCATCTAGTGAGTAGAAGCCAAGGATGCTGCTAAACATCACACAGTGCCCAGGACAGCCACTCCAGCAAAGAGTCATCTAGTCCCAATGTCAGCAGTCCTGCCCTACCCTCACCCTACAGATGTCAGCTGCAGTGGGAACGCTTTCCTAATGCTTCCGCCCCTTCCTCTATATCCCCACAGCCCCTGGTTTCTCCGTTGGCTCGCACTGTAATTGTCTAACATACACTTGGACGTCCGACGCTCGCCCCGGGCTTGCCAGAAGCACAGCTGCCATCTTGCTGTGAACAGCGAGGGGCAGAATCTGAAGCCCAGGATTGGGGTCCGGAGTGGAGGCTCTGGAGCTAGTACTTCTCAAGTTCAAATCCCAGCCTTGCTACTTATCAACTGTATAATCTAGGGCAAGCTGCTTAACCTCTCTGCCTCAGTTATCTCATCTTGGAAATGGGCATGATAATAACACTAATAATGAAGTTTTGAGAGGAATAAATGAGTTAATATATGAAAAGCACTTCTAACTAATGGTGCCTGGCATATAACAAGCATTCAATTGATTAAAAATATTAAAAAATTCAAAATCCTCTCATTTTTTTGAGGGAAGTGGTTTTCCTGGATCTCTGTACTCTGACTTCCTATTGATGAGACGGATTAGCGGAAGGTCCAGGGAGAGGCCAAGGAGAAGCTGCGGTGAGAAAGATCAGAGACTCCTAGTGGCTCGGGGCCCCAGGGTTCTGCTCCATCAGTCTTTCCCTGGGCCCCTTCCTGTCCCTGTCAGGGCCTGAATCTAACAGTCACTCGGCGCAGCGGTCAAAGAAGGAGGACTCCTGAGAGGGCTTGGGCGGGGGTCAAGCTTTCAGACAGACCGAGGCCCCACCAGAGGCACACAGGGCCCCCAACCTGCTCTCTCTTGGGACTCAGACTCTGATAGAGGAGAATCCTCAGCAATCAGCCAATCTGTACCAAGTGTGCCACCAGGACCCAGGAGCCGTGGCTGGGGTGCCTTCTTGGGGTCACAGTCAGTGCCACATCCCTGCTAAAGTCTGGGTTTCCTGCCTCTGTGGCTTCAGGGCCCAGGGTCCAATATGGAGTGATCAAAGGACACAGGCATTCCCAGGCCCAGCTTAGGGTTCCAGCCCCTGTGGCCAGAACCGGGGTCAGCTGCCAATCCACCCTTCCCCAGGCCTTACCCAGGAAGACAAAAGAGAATGCGCTCTGACTTACAAAGTGGATAGGTCTCCCTGGAGGACCCTGCAAAAGAAGAGGCCGGGTCAGCATTTGACGGGGACTCGGGGCTACATTCTGGGGACTGTCAGGGCATGAGAGGATCCACCGGGCTGGCCTACACTCCCCCGGAGGCCTGGCCCCGTGGTCGGCAAACTGCGGCTTGCGAGCCACATGCGGCTCTTTGGCCCCTTGAGTGTGGCTCTTCCTAAGCCTTCGGAGTACCCTAATTAAGTTAATAACAATGTACCTATCTATATAGTTTAAGTTAAAAAAATTTGACTCTCAAAAGAAATTTCAATCGTTGTACTGTTGATATTTGCCTCTGTTGACTAATGAGTTTTCCAACCACTGACCTAGACCAATGTCAAGTGGGAGGGTTGGATTTATGAGGTCAAGCCAAAAGAATTCACTCTTTGTGTCTTTGATAAGGAATCAGACACCTGATAGTCTGACCACAATGTCCAGTCCTTCTCCGCCAGCTCACACGGTCAACTCCTCCAAGCATGAAGGGTCATGGCTCCGGAGGAAGTGCTCATTGCAGACAGCAACCTTCCCCCACCCCCCCTGCTCCCTCTTCCCATATGTACTTAGGGCTGCCTGCTGCCAGCACTTGCCAGTCACTGCCTGGAGGGGGAGCAGGAGGCTGCGAGCCCCCTGGGACGTTTGCAAGTGCTGGGCAGTTCATGGTGTTCAACCAATCTCAGGTGAGGTTGGTGGGTAAATACTGTGGCTTCGGGGGCGTTGGGGAGGGGGGCACAGGTGGGACAACTGGGAAACGTGTTCTCAGCCACCCTCCAGAGTCTCCAGTTGCCCTCAGCGGCAATCTGCTCCTGAACACACCTACAGTGGTTTCTTTCCCTTCTTGTCTCACCTTCCCACTTCCTGTTGGTCCTTCCGGGATCCTCTGTTGTTAACTACTTGTTCACGAAACGTGTCTCAGGATCTGCTTCTGGGGGAGCCCAAACGGAGGGACACAAACTTGAGGTCTTGCTTCTTGCTTCATCCTGGACCTGACGTTGGTCTCTGAGGTCACCCCAGAACTAAGGTCCCATCCCGCAGGCCCCCTCCCCCATGTGTTCCTTGGGGATGACCAGCACTCATACCTCCTTCTGTCTTCAGCAGAGTTTGGGTGGCACGGGAGCCGGGGCAGCTGTGTGACGAGGGGCATGGAGGCAGCCGGTCCATCTGGCTCCTGGTGGTCAGACCTCAGAACACAGCCGCTCTCACCCTGAGCCAGAACTATGGCTCTCGCTCCCTCGGATGCAGCCACAAGGCCGGTGACCTGGTACTTTCCGGTCAGAAAGGAGCGCCCAGCTCCCCTGAGCACAGCTGGCTTTCCTGCTTCCCCAGGGGGAGGGTCTGCTCGGGGCAGCACAGTCCCACTGGTCAGGTTTGGGTCCCAAACACCTGATGGTCAGTTGGCTTCCCTGGAGCCCAGCCTCCGTGGGGACTTCTGTCTTGGGAACACAGGACGCGGGGACACACAGCACAGCCCAGGGTGTGGCACCACAGGCGGGAAGAGCCATGCTCACTGCACAGGAGAGGCTGTGGGGGTGCGTGTTCTAAACTGAACTGTGCCCTCCCCGCAATTCCATGCTGTAGTCCCAACTCCCAGAGCCTTAGAGTGGGACTGTGTTTGGAGATAGGGTCTTTGCAGAGGTAATTTTTCCCCCTCACCTGAGGATACTTTTTCCTTTGCTTTTTCAGGGAGAGTGGAAGGGAGGAAGGAGGAGGAGGGGAGAGAGAGAGAGAAAGAGAGAGAGAGAGAGAGAGAGAGAGAGAGAGAGAGAGAGAAAGAGAGAGAGAAATATTGATGTGAGACACATAGACTGGTTGCCTCCCAC